TGTGTGTCTCTTTCCATGTTCTAGCAGAATATATTCACTCTCGTTTTGCACATTAAAAAAAAAAAGAGGAGTGGAGCGAGGCCCAAAATTCGGCCTCATTCAATTACTTTTATAATATTAGTTGCGATTTAAAAAAAAAAAGTTCGGATCGCTACTGGCGATCGAGAATGATCGACGGGCTTGGAAACAAAGAGTCAGGCTGTACTCTCTCCCAATCCTCTGGACGTAATTGCGATCAGAGACATGCCTGACTGGCCGGAATTGCCGTCAGATTCATCCAGGAACTAAGTCCTGGTGTGAGCATGATGCCCTCGGTTTGGTCAAGATACCCAGACCTCGGTCGGCATTCGAATTCGAATCGCCTGCCAAACTCCGACGAACTGCGCACTCCGCACTCCGCACTCCGCACTCCGCACTGATGCCTGCTCGGTGGTTGTCATCGTCCTCAGGGCTGCCATAGCCACCCCCATAACTCCTCCTCGACCTGCGCCCGCGTCTGTTCCCCCCCCCCGGCATCATCTGGACCGTCATCCCCATGAAGCTCTCAAGGTGAGTTCTCTTCCTCTCCTCCTCCTCCTCCTCCTCCTCCTCCTCCTCCTCCTCCTCCTTCTTCTTCGACCTGCCCCCGTGTCCTGTTCCCCCCCCCGGCATCAGCTGGACGGTCTCTCAAGGCAACTTCTTCTTCCTCTCCTCCTCCTCCTGCTCCTCCTCCTCCTCCTCCTCCTCCTCCTCCTTCTTCTTCTTCTTCTTCCTCTTCCCCTCCTCCTTCTTCTTTGTCTCCTTCTTCTTCCTCTCCTCCTCCTCCTCCTTCTTCTTCCTCTCCTTCTTCTTCTTCCTCTCCTCCTCCTCCTCCTTCTTTCTCTCCTCCTCCTCCTCCTCCTCCTCCTCCTCCTTCTTCTTCTCCTTCTTTCCTTCCGAGTGTTATATAGAGCATCCCTTGAAATAAATAGAAAGAGAGAGGCTGCAGGGGGGCAGCTCCTTTGCTGCCATCATGTGCTCAACGTCCTCTGCTGCCCTCCGCACCACCTCCTCCTCCTCTTCACCGTCCGCGCTAGCTCTTCCCTCACTCTCCACACCACCTGCTCTCCTATGCCCCGCCCCCCCGACCTCCTTCCCCATCCCCCGTACAGCCTTCTGCCCCCACTTCCCTGCGCCACCTCCTCCGTCTCCCACCCCATCTCCGCACGATTCCGCACGATCGCCTCCTCCTCCCCCATTCCCGCGTCACCTTGTCCCCCATTCTAGAAGTATCTCTTCCCCCACCCTCCGCCCTACCTCCGCCCCCATCCCCGCGCTACCTCGTTCTCCGTTTACATTTTTTTAAATATTTTTTTTCTTTTTTTAATAATGGAAAGGAGCGTGCTTCTCCATTTACAGTTTTATCATAAGTTCATAATACTTGTAATACTGACGTTGCAAATAACAGTCGTTGAATTGAAATGATAGTAATAAAATTTTGGAAAGGTGAAAAAAAAAAGTTGAGAAAACTGCAAACAACAGTCGTTTGAAAAAAAAAAAAAAAAAAAAAAAAAAAAAAAAAAAAAAAAAAAGAAAAAAAAGGAAAAAAAAAAAAAAAAAAAAAAAAAAAAGGACAAGAGAAGACGAAAGAAGAACAGTCGTTTTCGTTGTGGGCGAAGAAAAAAGCCCGTGGTGGTCGATCGAAGATCGCGCGCGGGATCATACCGTCTTAGAGCTGAATAAGACGCCCCGTCATTATGCCTGTATTTGGGGCAACTTTCAGTCTACATACAGCTCAAAATGACCGGGCGTTCTATTCCGGATGACGACTGTAGTTTTTTGTACGGGTTCTCCGGTTCTGGCAGTTACTCTTTTTTTTCCTTTTCCTTTTTTATTTTATTTTTTTTATGCAGCAGTTTCCCGGTTTTATAACGGAAAGTTGCTCTCTTTTGCCAAAAAAAAAAAGGAGGGA